ACCCAATCTCACCGGCAATGAGTGCCTGGATCCAAGAGGGGCATGAGACATCCACAGCAACATTCAAAACAGAGCTTAACGATGAGCACAGAACAGAATCATAAACTTGAAGAGAGTCTGAGAGAAAGGCTGGACACGAGCGTAGAAGGAACATAAGACGGGGAATAGAGAATGAATAGCGCAAAAGAAGCAAAGCGTCATGGAGATCAAAGTGACAAAGACGATCGACTAGTAATTTGAGAGCTGAGATCTTTTCATTAATGGCAGAGTCGATACTAGAGAGGTCACCAATGGGAGACCCTAACAACGTGGCCGAGGCCTGGGGGACCACAACTGCACCCGGGAGGACAGAAAGAAGAGAAGCAGTACTACCTGTACAGTCGGAAATGATCTCAGATTTACGAGGATTCAAGACAAGGCCAATGGATTCAGCTTCCTTCAGTGTGGAGATATCACTGCACAGAGAAGGGACAGACCCACCTAGGGTGATGTCGTCGAGGTAGGTGATACGTAAAGGGGACTTTAGTGAGGTGGTAAACTGATGGAGAGTGATACAGAAGAGCAGAGGGCCTAGAGGGTCACCTTGCTGAACACCTTCGGAGGAGTCAAGCTTTCGGTCCTCCCAAAAGAGAGAAGAAGAAGCTGAATAGGCAGAGGAGACTAAGGGAAAAATGGAGGGGCAGAGATTCAGAACTGCCTGCAGCATACGGTATAATTAACCATAATTAATCTAGCCTATTGTTGTTGTATCTATTCCATCTCTCTCTTTCTTCCATCTTCTGTATTATACATATGTCCTATCCAGTGGCGTGTCCAGCAAGTTTTATTTGGGGGGGCCAGAAAAGTGGAATGAAAGAACGGCGCGCGAAGCGCGCTGCGATTTTGGCCACGCCCCTTTTGTGCCCGCGCGCGCGTACGCACGCACTTGGGAACAATAGTATTATACGCGGACAACGATAATCTGTACGTAAATTTCATTTTCAGTAATGATTATACAAAAAATAAAGTTATTATTTCAAAATGATGCGTCTCGGATTCTGTACCATAAATGTATCAACCACCTGTTCATAATCTAGAGTTTGAGAGTTAGAAAGGTCATGTTCAATAGCCAATACAGATAAATTACTCAATCTCTGCTGACTCATAGTAGCCCTTAAGTACGTCTTAACTCTATTAAGAACTGAAAAAGAACGTTCAGCAGATGCTGAAGCTACTGGAATAGTCAAGGCAATCTTATAGAGCTTGGTAGCTTCTGCAAATACTCCAGCCTTTCCAATAACGAGCAAAATATCTTCCACAGTCTCTTTATCTTTGCACATAACTTTAACTACATCTAGCTGGCTCCAGAGTACACTTTGATCAAGCTTGTAGGCCTCGACAATTGGAAGTATGATTACTGGATCAAGGAATGAAGGGCTATTAGGTGAGAGAGCAGCTAAAGCCTGAAGAATAGGTCTATGATCACCAAAGCGATGATCTAACTCAACTAAAATCTTGTCAATAATCTCATAGTACATTACTCGATAAACTTCAGAAGGTGACAAAGTTGTTTCATTTAATGTACCTCCTGAAGAACATTCAACCAAGTAATCAGATGTCGACCTTCTAGGCACAGCTCTCGTTCTTCTACCTGCATTCGGAAAAGTAACATCGACACCAGCTATCTCAGCCATTTCAATTGAGCTTTTCCAAATAGCATCATCAAAATGAGACTCACATCTTCTCTGCTTCATAACTTGTATTACAGTATCTACCAATTCTAATGCTAAGGTAAGATTAACTACTTTTGCTTGAAGAGCATCAGATAGAGGTTTGGTTAAACCGAGAATTCCATCAAACGTCATAAGAAGAACAAGAAAAGAAAAACATTGAATTTGTGACAAAATACCTCTAGCTTCTGCTGCTTCGATTCCATCTCTACTCTTGTCAATTATTTCGTCCAATGCCTCTACCAAACAGTCATATCTTGATTTGAACATATTGACAGCAAAATATCTGCACGCCCACCGTGTATCACTTAGCTGGGGTATTTCTAAAACTTTGAGATTCTTCTTGATTTGCACATTAACAAGCTTGTCATGTCGGAGTGTTGATGTGGAAAAAAAACGATACACTAACCCCATTATCCCAAAGAAATCACTGACACTCTTAATGGATTTAGTTGTATCCACTAACACCAAATTGAGCCTATATAAATACACAGGAAAATTATTTGTGAACACATACAATGCATGCATGCCATACTACTCATGCATGATATACATAATCATAATAATTGTACATAATCATAATAATGGTATACTTACCTATGTGCATGACAGTGAATATATATACACTCATTTCCAGCTAACTCCCTTAATCTCTGTTGAACACCGGTAATCTTTCCTGACATGACACTGGCACCATCATAACATTGTGAAAAACACTTCTTGATATCCAATCCTAACACCTCTAATCTTTCAACTATTTTCCCTACTATTGCGTGAGCATTGAGTTCATGTAGATTGGAGAAACCAACGAAATGTTCATTGACTTCAAAATGATTGTTTACGTATCTGATACAGAGTGAAAGTTGCTCTGTATGACTCTTATCCTGTGCCTCATCAGCAACTATCGCATAACAATCTGACTCTTTCACTTCATTAATTATATGCCTCAATACAGTATCAGTAGCAGCTTTTAAAAGATCGTTCTGTATTATATTAGACGTATATTTAGCGTTCCTAGGCATTGAATGGAGCAGATGTTTGAGTTCAGGTGTCAACGAAGCCAATAATTCCAAGATCTCCACAAAATTTCCCTTATTGCTCGAAGTATTAGTTTCGTCATGTCCTCGTAAGGCAATTCCTTGACGGGCACATAAAACAGCAATTTTCGCGAGGGTAGTTATGTATTGCCGGTTAGCTGCTACGGTTGTTGCCCGCTGACACAAAAGCTGATCTGCGACAGTGGAAGTTGCTTTTGTTTGCTTGTACGCAGTCCACTTTGCCATACTTTCCTTGTGGCTAACTGATTGAGAATGCTTCCTAAGTTTCTCACCAACCTTCTTCCAATTTCTAAAACCATCCCTTGTGAAAACTGTGTCTGCTGAGCCAGAGTGTGATGGAAACTGTCTACAGGAATAACAGAATATAGCATCCTTTTGTATGGAATACTCAATGAATGGATACAATGGATACCAATGCTTAGAAAAGGAACGACTCCTATCACTTATTTGGGTTTTCTGAAACCTGGCAATATGAGGCTGTACAGGTTTATCATGAAGAGAAGAAGCAATATCGTTAGGTTGAGAATTAATTGAGAAAAACGGCACGGATTCGTCATCAGTGGGCTCACTCGTAGTTGTTGACGAGGTACTGGTATGGGCTGTATAACCACTTACGATGTCCTGACTAGACTCTGGTTCAGAGTTAGACACTGATGTTGTAGGAAGAGTAATGTCTACTTCGTCCAGATGCGCCTGTGTGCATGTGGCACTGCCACGGTGACCCGGTGCGGCGATGTCATGATCATCCGTGATCATTGTTTCTGAATCAGGCTCATTGTTGATGTCCTCTGGTTCCTCAGGTTCAGAACTAGGACTAAAGATTTTAGAGAACTCAAATATCTTCTGCTGTCGAAGTCTTTTCATTGCCAGAAGCACTGAGACACACACACACACAGTCACACACTTTCCTCTCTATTTACCAGTATAGTTTGAAATTTTTTATTGAAAAAATTTTGGGGGGGCCATGGCCCCCCCTGGCCCCTCCCTGCCACCGCCACTGGTCCTATCTATCCTACACCTAAGTGTTTCTTTTCTTTTTATAATAATAATAATAATAATAATAATAATAATAATAATAATAATAAATAATAAAAATAATAATAATAATAATAATAATAATAATAATAATAATAATAATAATAATAATAATAAGAAAGAAAAGAGAAAAGAAAAGGAGTAAAAAAGGAGAGGGAATTAAAGTATGTATTGAATGTATAATGTCTTTAATAATGTATTAAAGTACTGTAGGATGTCACTCAAATGTTTCTTACTTTAAGAACATCAGTGACATTGACATTAGCTCCCTTGTCCAGTAGTAGTTTAACTATTTCTGCATGTCCTCCTATACAAGCCATAGCAAGTGGTGTATGCTGCATAATAAAAGTAAATAAAAAAAATTAAAAATGGGAAAATAGTAGGATTGAATTGGGAAAAATAATAATAATAATCCTTTTTTTGTAAAAATAATGATAATATTTTTGTGTGTATTGTATTGTATTGCACTTTTATTTTTCTTTCAAAATAATAATACTAATGATAACACCATATACCAGTTTATTTTTGTGGTGAAATATTTTTGAGAATTTTGCGGTTTTTTTGCTCTGTCATGGAATTTTTCCACCACGCAATTCTGCATTTCCATTGCCACGTGGTGCAGTCTGCAAACTATTTGCAAAAATTAATTCCACAAAACTTTTAAAATGCAAGATTTGTTAAAATTTTCTACCGCAAAAAAACCGTATATGGTAATTTTTTATGTCTCTTACTTTTTTTTTATTAGCGTGACTGACATCAGCTCCATGCTTCAGTAGTAGTTCAACTATTTCTGTATGTCCTTGATGACAAGCAATGCCAAGTGGTGCATCCTACAAAATAATTATTATAAGAAATTAATAATTATGTTTCTTAATTAGCTACATTGTCATTATCAGCCACATTAAAATCAGCTCCCTCCTCCAGTAGTAGTTCAACTATGTCTGCATGTCCTGCTATACAGGTTATAACAAGTGGTGTATGCTAACATGATAATAATAATAATAATAATAATAATAGTTAATATTATTATAATTATAATAATAAAATTTATTAATTACTGTGTCTCTTACTTTTTGTTTATTAATATGATTGATATTAGCTCCATGCTTCAGTAGTAGTTCAACTACTTTTTTATGTCCTTTTATACAAGCCATACCAAGTGGTGTATCCTACAGAATAAAAATTCAAACTAATTGTTGTCTCTAGTAGTAGAGACGCAAGTCCAGTGTCACTGACACAAGCATGCAATTAATATCTTTTAATTCTTATCAGTATGATTAACAAATTATATATATATGTGTGTGTGTGTGTATTATATATCATACTAAACAGGTCTATATACAAAAATATAGACCTGAGGTAGGTGTCCAAGGATGTGATATAGCCTGAGGGCCACAGGCCCGAGGGCTATATCACATCTGAGGACACCCACCAAAGGTCTATATCTTTTGTATATAGACCAGTTCTAGTATGTTATATAGGATATATTTCATAATGATGACAGCATTTCTGAAAGGCAGGTCTATATACAAAAATATAAACCCGACCACATCAAAGGATGATGTCGTAACACAACTTCTTGTGCTATAAGGCTTTTATAAGGACCTCACCCTCAGGCTCAGGGCCTAGGCCT